AGTCTTCGGTCCAGATAGTATAACTGAAGCCGTGTATGAGGAAGGAGTAAAGAATGTGGCTTTATCCTCTTTAATGGGAATAAATGGTAATTCTCTTCCCCCTACTCTGAAGGGAAGTTTTTATATGAACATCTCTAGCTTTTGGAAACCTTTTGATCATAGATTAATATCCATTCTTTGCATCTCAGCAACCATATTTGCATATGGACAAACCAGCAGTGGGAAGACTTACACAATGCGAGGAATTACTGAGAAAGCTGTCAACGACATATATTCCCATATAATGAGTGTAAGCTTCATCATTCTTGAGCAACTGCTATTGTCATCTGATACTTCTTGATGTCAGAATTTTCCAAGGTCATTGAAGACACGTCACAAATGGGATTACTGGAATTAGTAGAAAAGAGTTGTTATACTTTGAGATATTTGAAGCATGTAGTTTACATGATCTTTATCCTAGATGAGTAATAAATGATAAGTCAAGTAGTTCCTGTTTCTTGTATTTTCTGCAAATACATCATGTCTTATACTAGTTTCTTTAGCTTTGAAATAAAACAAAAAATTACAGTCTTTCTTAGTGCCATTATCCTTGGAACTGTTGCTGATTTATTTATTTATTTTTGGTCATTTGACAATTGTCATAGACCCCAGAAAGAGAATTCAGAATAAGAATATCTGGACTGGAGATCTACAATGAAAATGTCAGGGACCTATTGAATTCTGAATCTGGTCGAAATCTCAAGCTTCTTGATGATCCAGAGGTAAACTTGAGCAAAAATTAATGAGCCTTCAAATTTATAGCCTTTACTCTCTGTATCATTTTTTCATGATATCTTTTTAATTTGCAGAAAGGAACTGTCGTTGAGAAATTGGTGGAAGAAACAGCAAGCAATGACCAGCATCTGAGGCATTTAATTAGTATCTGTGAGGGTAAGAATTTGATTCTTTTCGAAGTGATATTGCTTTATTTTAGTTTTCCCCAGCAAATCCATCTTCAACATGTACCACTTAAATCTACAGCTCAGAGGCAAGTCGGTGAAACAGCCTTAAACGATACGAGCTCACGATCCCACCAGATAATAAGACTGGTTAGTCCTCAATTGTGTGCCGAAAGTCTTGTGTTCCCAAATTGAAATCTCCTAAGCAACAACTTTTCTAAACGGACTTCTATAACTTCTTATCATATGCAGACAATAGAAAGCACTCATCGTGAAAGTTCTGATTGCGTGAGGTCTTATGTAGCAAGCTTGGTAAATTAACCTCCTCCTTGATTGTTTTAGAGGACACTTAAGAGAGATAGAGACATCTTTATCATTAACATATCTGTGCTGCAGAACTTTGTTGATTTGGCTGGGAGCGAAAGAGCCTCACAGACAAATGCAGATGGTGCCAGGCTTAGGGAAGGCTGCCATATCAATCTCAGTTTGATGACTCTTACAACCGTAATTAGAAAGCTCAGGTCTGTTTTCCCTTATGTGACAGCTGTGTTTGTTCAAGTTATTTCATCATCCCTGTCACTGTGCATTGTAAAGCATGGACAAGTATTTTTGTGCTTCTTTAGTTCTGTGGTTAACTCATTGCTTCTTTAGTTCTGTGATGAAAACTCATTGTTTATGCTGATGACATACCCGTCTATATCAGCTTACTGGATTTGATAACTTATTTTGTCACTGCAGTTCTCCAATCTGATTGGTTCATTTCTTTTGTTTTTTCCTGTAAGTAGTGTGGGCAAAAGAAGTGGTCATGTACCCTACCGGGACTCAAAACTGACAAGAATATTGCAACATTCACTTGGTGGGAATGCCCGTACTGCGATAATATGCACGCTTAGCCCTGCATCTAGTCACGTTGAACAATCTCGCAACACTCTCTTTTTTGCTACCCGAGCAAAGGAAGTCACAAACAATGCACAAGTGAACATGGTACGCTCAGTAACTTGCCTTTAAAACCTTATTGTGAATGTGTACCTCTTTTATGAGATGTACCTCATTTTATCTTTTAAGTTTTTAACACAAATATTGAACTTCTCTCTTACCTTAAATATCAGGTTGTTTCCGACAAACAGCTTGTCAAGCATCTGCAGAAGGAAGTAGCCAGATTGGAAGCAGAGCTGCGCACCCCAGAGCCAGCTAATGAGAAAGATTGGAAAATTCAACAGGTTCATCAACGATGAATTTCCTTAAGAAAATGAAATTTAAGTGTTAACATTTATTTAACTAACTGACTGACTGGCCCTTTTAGATGGAAATGGAAATCGAGGATCTGAAGCGTCAAAGGGATCTTGCACAGTCACAAGTTGACGAGTTACGCAGAAAGCTTCAGGCAGAACAGGTTTGTATCTAAGTTTTCTCGCATTGTGCATAATTCAGTGAAGTAAAGGTCTCTTTGTGCTAATATTGAATTCTTGAACCAGGGACTGAAACCATCTGAATCTGTTAGTCCAATTGTGAAGAAATGTCTCTCATTCTCCGGCACATTATCTCCAAACCTTGAAGAAAAAGCACCTGCCCGTGGTGAAAGAACAAGAAACACAATGGGAAGGCAGTCAATGAGGCAATCTTTGGCTGCCCCTTTCACACTCATGCATGAAATTCGTAAACTCGAACATCTCCAGGAGCAGCTCGGAGATGAAGCAAATCGAGCATTGGAAGTACTGCAAAAGGAAGTTGCATGTCATAGGCTAGGTAACCAGGATGCTGCAGAAACTATTGCTAAGTTGCAAGCAGAGATCAGAGAAATGCGTTCAGTACCACCAGTCCGCAAGGAAGTTGAAGTTGGAAATGTCGTTGCTGTCAATAAGAGTGTCAGTGCCAACCTGAAGGACGAGATAGCCAGACTTCACTCACAAGGAAGCACAATTGCTGATCTTGAAGAACAGCTAGAAAATGTTCAGAAATCATTGGACAAACTGGTTATGTCTCTTCCAAGCAATAATGATCAACAGTCAAACAATGACACCACACAAAAGGCAAAGCATCCATCAAAAAAGAAGAAGTTGCTCCCATTGGCCTCGAGCAACAGTATCAACAGGCAAAATTTCTTGAAATCTCCTTGTTCTCCTCTGTCAACTGCACGACAAGTACTGGATTGTGAGATTGAAAATCGAGCTCCAGATTCGGATGATTTGTCCTGTGAAATTCAGCCGATGCATGAAAATGAGACTCCTACGAAAAGTGATGGAGGAGATATTTCATCCAAGGAAAGCACTCCATATCGCCGTTCCAGTTCTGTAAACATGAGAAAGATGCAGAAGATGTTTCAGGAGGCAGCAGAAGAGAACGTCAGAAACATAAGATCGTATGTGACAGAACTTAAAGAACGGGTGGCCAAACTTCAATACCAAAAGCAGCTCCTTGTATGCCAGGTAAAACTTCTACTCTCTTTGTTTTTGTGTCACACTAATTGAAGTTGTTCAAAATTTCGGAATCCTCCCCTTTGCCGCAATTATACTTTTCAACTTTACTTTATTATTTGTTTGTGCCTGTAGGTGCTTGAGCTGGAAGCAAATGAAGCGGCTGGATACAATTTAGAAGATGATGAAAACATTCATCAGATACCAGAAGAGTCCCCAGTTTCATGGCAGATCACATTTAAGGACCAGAGGCAGCAAATTATTGACTTATGGGATGTTTGCTACGTCTCCATTATTCACAGGTCACAGTTCTATCTGTTATTCAAGGGAGACCCTGCCGATGAAATATATCTGGAAGTTGAACTCAGGCGCTTGACATGGTTACAACAGCACCTGGCAGAGCTTGGAAATGCAACCCCGGCCCGTGTTGGAAATGAGCCAACAGTCTCTTTGTCATCAAGGTATTTTTCTTTTCCTCTCTTTCCCCATGGTTTTTTTTTATTAAATGCAAGTCTGCCTCATGCTCAAACTCTAATGATTTATATTTTCCAATGGAATTCAGCATTAGAGCTATAAAGAGGGAAAGGGAATTCCTTGCCAAGAGATTGACAACCCGCCTGACAGCTGAAGAAAGAGATTATCTATACATAAAATGGGAAGTTCCTTTGGAGGGAAAACAGAGAAGAATGCAATTTATTAACAAGCTTTGGACAAATCCGCATGACGAAAAGCACGTAAAAGAGAGTGCTGAGATAGTGGCAAAGCTCGTAGGTTTCTGCGAAGGAGGTAACATGTCAAGAGAGATGTTTGAGCTTAACTTTGTCCTTCCATCAGATAGGAGGCCATGGTTCGCTGGCTGGAACCAAATCTCCGACCTTCTCCATATCTGAGAGAAGCTTAGATTCTTTTTGTAAGTAAATTAATTGTATCGCGTGTTGTTTTTCATGTACATGAAACTCTGGAGCCTCCCAATTTTGGAGCCTCCCAAGTTGTTCCATTACAACTGATTAAATTTACAGCAGCATGGAAGATTGGAATTTGAGGCATCACAGCATGCAACTTCATTGTCTGAATAAAGAATTCAATTGAAATAGTGTTATCTATTATACAAATTTTCTGCACAAGCATATAATGCGAAAGATATTACACTAGCTACTGTACTACAATTCTACCATACACATAGCAAGAAGAGGAGCAGTGAAGGGAAGACAGAAAACAATGGAAACAGAGGGGTAACACCATGACCAATTATGAGTTTAATTTTAGGTCCCAACAACAAATTCTAGTATTCTTCCTCACAGTGGATTTGACAAACACTCCACTTTGGTTGACTTAATGTACCTAATTAAAGGTGAATCAGTTTTTTCCCAGACGTATTTTGAGTCTGTTTGGTAATTTCCTTTCCACTTACATTCCTACTTTTTGAGTTTTCTCGCACCTTTCTTTCTCCGGTAGATGTCCTCTTATTATATCTCTCTTATGTATTTATGTCCTTTTTTTGGAAGTTTTCGTTCGTGAATAGAAGTAACAAGAGATGGTTGTTGCAGGAACTACAAGCACATTGGTACAAAGAACTGGATCACACCTGAGTTGAAAATTTGCAAGTTAAATTTTTTGCATTCAGTCCCTGTAAATCCAAGGCCAATGATGCATGATAGAGACATAAAGTCATAGAAAAATACCATATATTGTCTTAGGAGTACTTATGACAGAACTTGTACATATGTTGACATAGCATAATTTCATCTCTTTTCATTCAAGAGTGCATAAATAAAGCAAGCAAAAACACATAATCACTAAAACAAAGAGTATAGATGATAGCACACACAGTGACTCTCTCATGAGATAAGAGTGCATCAAACATATTATTTTCACTTCTCACATACAAGACTTAGCAAGAAGCACATGATTCTTCAAATGTAGTATTAACACTTGGGGTAGGGAACACCACAAGTGCGAGCAACTTTCTTGGCACCAGGGGAGTTGACATAGTTCCTTAAAGTTGGGTTCTTGAGATAAGTGCAGAGGCAAGGCTTTTGTTCCCTGATTCTGCTGCAGCAGAGTGTAGATGGTGCTGAATTCGATGTGATCGCGCCAAGGCAAGGACTCAGCTGAATCGCGCTGCACGTTACAGCTACAGAGATATGTGCTTCAACAAGAAGCAGAACTAGAACTGTGAGAACTGCAAGCTTTGATGCTGTCTTCATTACTGTCACTTGAAGATGCTTTTTTCTTTTTCTTTTTTTGCCTCAATAGATAAGAGAGAGTTGCTGCATTTTAGCATAGTCAATAGCTCAATTTATAGGGAAAACATTGGTAAAAAATTGAATAGTTAGGAATTTTTTTTGTTCAGAAAGTACCATTAGTGCAATTTGTTTAATTACCTCCTGTTATGATTAATATAATTATGGTACAACCCAAAAATTATCAAGTCACTAGTTCAAGTCAACACGGGGCTACACGCGTGAAAGTATGTCACAACAATTGTTGCGGTAGACGTAGATGTTTTAACTGTTCATCAGTTGAAAGGTAAATCAGCTCTCATTCGAAGGCGGATCAAGAATTTTAAGTTATGAGTTTTGGATTTAAAAAAAGACAATTTAGTTACTGAGTTTTGAATAAATTATTGATACATATTAAGTAGATTTCTTAATACTACTACTACAAAGTTTTGACCAAAGTTACTAGATATGCTACTGCATATGAAACTAGAATTCTAGCTCCGCTCCTGATATTAGATGGCATGGGACTACTTTTCAATGTGTGACACGAAGGCCATATCAAGCTTAATCTGAAAACAAATGTAAATCCCATGACCAAGAATTGTCCAAATTGGCGCTGCATCGACCAGTCATATCAATCTCGATTGTCTCCTTAATTATTATCACTTGCGTTTTGTTTGACAGTAAAATATTAGTGATAATATGAAAGAGAATATTAAAAATTGTGGTTGAAAAGAGAGCAAACACTACAATAAAAGAGATATTTAGTGACAATAGATTTTCATATTAGCGACAATTTGACCATTAAGCAATAATTATTTGGATGAGTGCATTTTAATAAATAATTACTGATTTTAGCAATAATTTTTATTTATTACCATTTATAGCAATACATAACAATACTATGTTAAATCTGCAATATATATTAAAAGTGAATTAAGTATGCAATATATATGTATTATAACTATTTTTAAAAATATATTATGCTTGTTTGGTAAGAAGTTGACACATTGTATTATAAGTGTATTAAAATGTGTGATAAATGTATTATCCATCAATAAAACTTGTATTAAATGTGAATAATAAATTGTTCTTTGTAATATGTATTAAAACTGTATTATAAATGTATTAAAAGTGATCAAGTGAAAAAAAAAATTATTGCTATAAATGGTAAATATTTTTTATTTATGGTATATTTATGTAACTTTCCCTTGAATAAATATCATTGCATCTAGAGTGAGTAGAGGCATAATAACCTTTAGCAACAGTTATATAGAGTGTTGGTTATAAATATTCATATTTTCTATTGCCACAAAATTCTTTATTTATTATACTGTATCGAAGACATACCTACGTTAAAAAAAGAGAGAGTAGGTCTATAGCTCAATAACAAGGAATAATTTATTTTAATTCCCATAAAGAGTACATTATAGAGAATCATCAAGGTGTATGATTTAGTACTTTGCTTGTATTCATGTGATAATTAGTTGTGGCATGCATACCAGTGATCATTATTCTTTTGATGCAATGAGAGTGTGCATTTTAATATAGAGGGACCCAATTGCTCAATTTTTTTTTATATCTATATTGAAACCCGATTAAATTTGATTATTCGATTTTATAGTATATATCATGCATCATGTTTAATTACTTTATTTATTTTTTAAAAAATATAAAATATAAATTAGAAATATTCTTTTATCTTTTTTGAGGTGAATGACAAATTAATTAATGTAATTAAAATCAGGTCATCAACCACTAATGCGGCTTCTCAAAAGACTCCCCACTACCTAATTCTTGCATGTTTCTGGTAATTCTACCCATCTCTATCTATTTTTTTAGGGAAAAGATTGAAAATAATTTACTCTCATTAGTTTACACAATTTAATTTTATGTTTAATTTAAATAAATAGTGATGACCACTATAAACCCTTTTAATTTGCATCAATTAAAAGCAATGAAAATAGTGGAGTGTCCATTTATAAAACAGTAGGAGTATTTATAATTCATCGTTTATATTGATTACCCAAGAATCATCGCATTTCATAATGAGGTGTACTGTCGAGTACTCAAATTTCTTTGATATAATGGGTTAGTGCATGCACCTCACCATAAACGTGAAATAACAAATATAATGATGTGATATACGATTACTTGTTTGAGATGAAAATAATTGAGAATTCTGAGGTCACAAGTTTATGGAGACAAAAAATACTAGGTAATGCATACCATCTATCCTAGCTTTGGTGAACAGATGTATGGTACTTGTTGTTTGTGGGAGATGATAGGTATCCCGTGAAATTAATCGAGATGCGTGAAAGTTGGTCTGGACACTACAGTCATCAAAAGAAATATGTATGGACAAACGAGTCTATATTTAATGTATATATATAATAGATGTCGAACTCCCTTCAGCTAGTTCGTGTGTTTATTTTGAACCCCTTATTGAACATTCTTGGCTTCGCCAGCGGACCCTACACAACACATATGCAACTTGCTTTCGGTGCTAGTGACTTTACATTTATTTTCATGCTTTAATGTGCACAATATTCTTTCATCATTATTCTTGATCCACACTTGCTATTTGTTTGTTTAATTATGATGATTCTCTGCTAACCCCCTCTCATGTTCACTATCAAAAGTATATGCTTCTTCCAAAAACAAAAAAAAGGGTGCCATTAATCATGTCATTAATAAAAAGTATATGCCACTATCCATTCTATAAAAGAAATCATATGTTAAAAATCCTTTTTTAACTTTTATGCAAATTAATTACGTCCCATTGATATTCTGCGTTGCGCAATGCCTCTCTAGAGGTGGATGTAGCCTTTTAGCTATAGTTCATACTTCATATGATCATCTCAACCCATAATTGTTTACACGGAGTAATATAGTAATCATGTTTTTTTTTTTCGCATTTTTTATTTATTTCGACGATTCGAGTTGTAGTATTTCTTGTGTACATATGATTTTATTGTTAGTATAGCCATGTGTTTGCTTAACTTCACGAAATTAGTGATTGCATTGGGTCAAATATGGGCATGATGGGTTCTCCATTTGTCAACATTATAGTAATTCATATCTTCATATTTTTTTTAATGAAGTCCATCTGTTTGCTATTAGGACCAGACAACTGCTTTAACCTATCAATTATTCATATTGGAGACAGAATCATAGGTTAAATACGAAAAGAATTCTCTAAATATTGTTACTTTCAAATGCACCTAGAGCTAACACATGTTCTTCTAGAGGCCACAAGGCTTCAAGTTTATAGGGATAATGGTCCATCCCTCAACCTTTTTTGTACTTAAATATCAGACTTTTGTCTTGTAACATAGTTCGAGCCTATGACGTATGCTTAACCCAACACATACAGTTTCCACACTATTATTATCTTGAGCTCATAAGCCATCATTTTTACATTGGAATTGTGTGCTATATGTCCAAAGCTAGATGATAGAACAATAACTAACAAATTAGTACCAAGAGTCTGGCATATTGATTTAACATTTGTTGAAATTGTCAAAGAGAAGATCAAGCAAGACATTCTCAACTACATTCTCAACTAACACCAATTTCAAAAGACAATAAGACGTTTACATATTTGTTTACTCTAAAGTTTAGATATTCTAGCATTGTGTTCCATTCTTTGGCACATAAACATTCAAACTTACCAACGACTAATACTCACGAGTACATATGCATAACTATAATTAGGAACTAATGGGGTTGACCGTTGTGAGTAACAATCCTGAAGAGTGAACAAGCTCCGCTACTAATCTCTGCAGAGAATTTCAAATGTTAGAGCAAATAGAGTAATCTCATCCAAACATGTTTTTTTCTGTCAAGAACAATGTGATTTAGAGCAAATCACAAATATCAAGTCACTTGACCACAGGTATCTAGAGCTATCAAAGCTAGATAGAGCATGTTGAAAACATGAACCATAGTCACTGAAACAAATTCTCAAGGAGTTCAAATCAGGAAAAAGCAAGTAAATTAAGTCGAGCGTTTAGTCTTCATTGCTCTTTGGCCGAGGAAAACTAGACTAACGTATTTCAAACTGACAAGATATGAAATGCTTCGGATATAATGAAGGAAAAGAACTTAACTTTAATAAATTACTCGTTTTGGTCAATTATTTATGCAAATAGCAATATGATGCTTAATTTGATCACCACATATAAAGCTAGCTACATTAAATAGATCCTTTACTTGTCTTGGCGTACCCATGTCAAATGGTTGTGACATGGGTATAGGACTATGGGTCCTACATGAACTGACACCCGTATTGAATATGTATCCATAAATAAGTTTGTGTAACATAGGTAGATAACAGCTGAGAGGTTTAGAAAGAGGGGGTTGGGGTATTTGATAGTCAACATCTCCTGCTACTGAACTAAAATGCAGGGATGTATAAGCATATCATCGAACTTCAGTTTTATTCTCATATGCATGAACTGTCGTTCTGCAGACAATCCACACAAGAGTACACACCAGTAATAAGATAAAAGATGTAGAATTGGCACGTCACTTTAATAATCATGTTTGCTAAATGTTGCTAGAGCACATGAGACATGGTTACCTCAGAATTTAATATCAAAAATCAAACTTACCATGCAATATTCTCCCAATGAAGAAAACCACCGTGCCCTCTAGCATTTGAGAAGCTATAATCAGGTCCAGAAGCTGGGTACATAAAGAAGTGAGCAATTCAGTTTATCAGATTAATTCAGTACAAGCAAAAAAACACTACATACTAAGATCCACTTGAGTCATAGGTGAAAGTTCTGAGGGAAGGCAAAAGAAGTACCTTCATAACCCCCGAAAACTGGATCTTCTGCCAACAGAAGGGGTGTGTCTAGGTCAATGAATCTGCAGAGAATTTAGGTACATAAATTAGAGAACCAATCAAATTGGATAGATAATACAACCATGATTATGCTTAGTATTTGTCGAAACATGGATATACTGATGTCAACTTCAATGAAGTATTAAAATACTTCATAGAATTTTAATCC